CACACGTTGGGCCGATGCTTATGTTGTAAAAGGAGAAGGAGCTACTGATGCTTTGGCACCATTGCTGCAACTCTGCTCACAATTTGGCCCGCTACGAGGTTACTGAGTGACCAAGGTCCTGCCTTTGAGAGTGAAATCTTTCATGATGTTATGAAGATTTTGGGGGTTACTAAGGTACGGTCTACTCCGCATCATCCGAGCTCAAATGGTCATGTGGAACGTTTTAATTCTACCATTTTGAACTTGCTCAGAACGGCTACTCAGACCATAGGGGATTGGCAAGGCCACCTACGAGGCGTCCTATGGCAATATAATTCGACTCCTCATTCGGCCACTGGATTTACCCCCTTCTATCTTATGTTTGGAAGAGAAGCTCCTCAAATGCTATTGCCAAGTCTATATCAATACTCATCTTTGATGCATGATCCTGAGAGCTATGCAGCCTATTTGGCCCGGGCACGTGCCAAAATTGATGATGTTATGGATGAATGGGCTACTGCTAATGGTGCTTCATACCGTCTGGCAGCCTTAAGACAACCTTCTCATCGACGACATTACGTTGGTCAACGGGTTCGCCTGAAGATTTTCCATGGCAACAATGCTCCGGCCCGCAAGTTGCTTCCTAAATGGCAGGCAGACTGGTACATTTTCAAGTTTGTTGCTGGATCTAATAACAAGACGGTGGTAGTTCGACATTTCCCAGATCTACAGAAGAAGGTCATTTCTACCGACTATATATTGGCAGATCCAGTTCAACCAGAAATGATACCGGTTCAGCTCAATATTGTGAGAATGGAACCTCCTGTTGATGAAGCTCCAAGGGTTCCCTTGTATCCTTTCAAGGAAATCCCTATAACGGTTCCGGTATTGCAAGAAGACCCTTTGGATCATTTTGCAGATTCCGATGAAGTTTCGTCATATGTCGCCGAGATGGGTTCTCCTTCTCATGATAGGCCATATCAGCCTCAACCTTCGGCATATTGGGTTGCTCAAGATGATACTGATGTGCTACAACCACTACCACAGGTTGGAGAAGTTCGTAGCCCTCGAGATGGTGACATGCTAATCGAAGAGGCTTCTGGTCCGGTGATTCCTAGTCTTCCTTCTGAAAACCCAAGTCTATTGCCGAGTGAAGGGTTATCTTCGTCGCGAAGATCTCATCCGGTGCTT